GAGCTCAAGAACTTGCTTATATTAGCCAAATGACGCGCTATGCATTTTTTGGTGGTGAATCATTCGGTGCTCCTAATAGTGCATATAATAAGGCTCAAAATGCCATCTTAGAATCGAAACAACAACATATGACATATCTTCATCGAGATTATTATAAACCAATTTATAATGCATGGGGTACTGCAGGAAAGGAAGAATTTACACGTAAATTGGGTTATCGTTTTCAATTAAAAACTCTTTCCTATTCAAAAGAAGTAGCACCCGGTGGAATACTATCTTTTTCTTTGAAAGTACAAAATATTGGCTTTTCAGCAATGCATTTAACCAGACCTGTAAAATTAATACTTGATAATGGCAAAACAGGTAGTGCACGTATTACATACAACACGAATCTCAGTGTAGATCCTCGAAAATGGACACCTGAAGCGAATATCATCAGTATTGATCGTAAAATTCGTATTCCGGCAAATATCAGTCAGGGTGTTTGGCAATTACTTTTAATTATACCTGATAATAATACACGTTTACAAAGTGATGTACGTTATACAGTTCGATTTGCCAATGAAAATATTTGGAATACTGATGGAACACATGTATTAACCAAAGATATTTCTATCCAAGCTTCAGCTTCTGGATCACGTATTAATGATAACGTATTTCAAGAGGTTACAATTTAAAACAAGTAACGGTTATTTATCTGAATGACTTTATAAGTATGTTTCATGATACACATTGATCAAGATTATATACTTCATTTTTCACTATTTGTTGCGAGTGTGTGTTGGAATGTTTATGAAGAAAAGATATCCATATCCACCCTACATTCAATAAAATCAATAATAATAGAAGTTTTTGACCCTTGTACAAACACATCTGAGTTACACTTTCATCTTGAGGGTGTGAGGGTGTGGATGAAGAAGAAATACACTCACATCGACATCGTCTGTATTGAGGAATCTTAGAAAACTGGTATTTAGAATATAAATAGCTCACTATGACCTACAAACGCTGAAAGTTTCATACGATTCAGAAATGGTCGATGTCAATCTGGTTGTAAATTCATGGATTGAATCAGCACTGTACGGAGAAATTTCGCCAAAAGGATAATATTTATTCTAACAAAACATATCCTATTATCCATATTATTTATTCCCTTTCCTGAAAGAAAGGGTCTTACATTGAAAAAATGTATGTACATGTGTCCGGCAAAACTAAACTTAGATTTTAAAAATTAAAGCTAAATTAAACTGAGCTTTACGTTATTAGTGATTCGATCAGAATAGCAATATTTTAATTTTTATCTATTTCATTCAAGAATATACAATAAATTTGAAATATAAAATCCGTGAATTTTGTTTTCTATCGAAGCTACCATTACATTGAGAAAGATTCAGAGTTCGCTAATTATTTTCTATAGGAAATAGTAAAAGATTTTCGAAGATGTAGAGTTCACTAGCCTTTTTCTTTGAAAATAGTGATTAGTTTGAGGAACATATGGAGTTTGGTGATTGCTATTGTAAGTGAATGATCTTAACCTAAAATATGTTTAGTATAGAGCGGCGTTCAAAGACTAGTAGTAGCAATCGTCTATTTATGACACTTTGGTAAATTCATCGGTGTGGTTGTGGGAGTGTGGGGTGAGGGTGTGGGGGTGTGCTGTGGGGTGTGGGTGTGGGTGTGGATGTGAGTGTGAGTATGAATTGGATAAAGATGCATCCACACCCACACCCACACCCTCAAGTGCAACAAAAAAATAATAAACAGGGAAATCCCACATCTTCACCTCACTAATCGTATGACCTGCTTATTTGTAAATGTAAATTATGAAAAGAAAAAATTTACATGTATAATAAATACAGATTATTCATAATTTAAGTTACTCGGAAATCAATTCAAAGAAAATGTAAATTAATACACCTAAGTGTGGCGAACGGTATTGGTACCTGCGTCAAGCGAACATACACCTAGATCTAGACCCAGACACAGACCCACACTCACACCCACACCCACACCCACACCCACACCCTAAAGATTTTTTTATGTGTTCCAACTGAAGTTTAGTGTGATGCATTGAAGTGTTCTTTCGGATGCTATTGTCTTGTAATCAGAACATGAGCACGGGTTTATTGGAGGGTATGTGTGTAACGCTGGGTATAAATTAAGCTTGCCTACACCGACAATCTCATACAAATTCTCACTTACGAGCACACTCATATTCACTACCATAATTCTGGCGAATTCCATCCCAAAATACATCGATTTTGGTCCTTGTACCTTCCTGTGAATGACTCATACTGTCTTGTGGGATTTTTATCACAATCAATCACTATCCACATCCCATCGAAAAATGATGTCATAGTTGCAACCAAGTTGTGCAACTGGTAGAAGCGGCAGAAGAGAAAAAGACCGAAAATTATAAAGCTCTCCACTTTCCATCGCTCACTACATTAAAAAAACAGACGAACGACGAAATCAAGTAAGCAGTTCTGTTGAAAACATCTCACGATTCCCATGCACGCATTTGAGTTCGAATACCACAATACAGTAAACATATTTGAGGATTTTGTCTTCTGAAGTGTAAAATCGAGAGCAAAACATGTGATGCATGATAGTTATTGTGTATTGAGGTACTTATAGAATACTAATCGAAACTATAAAGCCAGCTAACGGAATTTTTTTTCAAATTTTGCTTTCCAATACATCATGAGTAACACTCGTCGTCGCGGCTCGCTTTGCCGTCACTAAAATGTTTATCTCTTTTCGTACAATACACCAGTACAGAAACTTAATCGTTTCTTTCATGAAATGCATGCATAAAGGCGACTGGGAGTATGAGCGTAGGTGGCCATGTGATTCTTTGCTTCAGCTACTCAAACAATCACACCCATACCTCCTTTCCGCCGTTCCCACAAACGATCATCCACACCCACCCTCAAGTTATCTGAAAAGCAGGTAGCATAAATGACAGGTAGCGCGGATAATAGGCAACGTAAAACGACAGGCAGTAGGAATGACAAGTAGTGGAAAAAAGAGGCTATGAAGCGTGGATGTGCGTCGTACATATGCTTATGGTTCTGGTGCGGGCACTTACACCCACT